AGGTAGACATAAATGCCGCACCTTAAAACTCATTAAGTAATTGTGTTGCTTTATGACAATTGTCAACAAACAACATTTTAATAAAAATTTAATTGAATGCCAAATAAGGTGAAATAATAGCGACATGTTAAAGACTTAACAAGACTTAGCCAAGCATAACCAAGTTAAGGCCAGCAAGAATATTTTTGTTAATAAAAGCAATAATTCAATCGATCAATTTGTATTATTGTATTGTTTATTCGAGAAGAATTGGCAAACTGTTAAACTGTATGCAGTATTTCTATAAAAGTTGATATTTTCTTAACAAACTGTAAACGCGAAAGCAAATATATCATTATTATCGAAGATCGTTCATATATGTATGCATTCACTCTATAATAAAAATTGTGAAAATTGACACATACATTTTCCCCCGGTGTCCATCAATCAAAATCAACGCATCACAATATAAACTCGCAAACGTGTGTATATGTACGGCTGCTGTTGCCCGCAAAGACTTACTAAAACGTAGTTCATTAACGGCAGCCAGCCAACCACTTTATAAAGGCTGGCGGAAAAAGAAATTGCATAGAGTACTGGCAACTAAATTGGGACAGACATAAAACACTGATAATGAGCTTAATATAATTTGCAATTATCAAATGAATCGTTGCATAATGGCTGGCCGAACAAGGCAGTCAAACCTATACTAACTAACACACTTTCTCTCTCTGTCTCTCTCTCTCTCTCTCCCCATATAAGTAATCGAGAGCGTAGCTACTACTACTTAACTAATGTTAAACGAGGTTATTGCGAGCGTTACTCTTCTAGCCAATGTAAACGAGCATTACACCAAAGCTTATTCCATAACTATTTCTATCTCGTTTACTCTCATAATATATATATATATATATATATATATATATATATATATATAAAATTTATATTGGCCAATGAGATAGCAGCTCTAGAAACTAATTGTGTACACAAGTCAAAGTAATTTGATGTGGAGCGTTTTTCTTGCCTTAATCTGTGGATCGTAAAAACAACATTTTATTTGTGGAATCTATTTAGAGACCAGTTTTATTTCGTGTATTATCGTAGTGGTAACCGTCCGTCCTTATATTACAAGCTTAGCAATTTTTCATGGATTTTCTACTCGAGGGTGAGCGAGAGAGATCGAACGAATGCTTCACTTGCATGCAGTATTGCATGCAACTTATAAAGTAATTTAATATTAAAATAATGAATACATACGTTTACTTACATGGACAAAACATAAATAACTGCAATCATTGTGTTTAAGAGATGAAAAAAGAATAGGAGGAAAACGGGTAAAAATAGTAATCACACAATATAATTTACAAAAAGTATTAAATGACTATTAATGGCAACATATTTGCGCATAGGAATCAATCAATCATGTCGCATTTAAGTGTGTGAAAGAGTAAGTGCACACGCAGTCTCTTTGTATAAATTGTGTTATGATAGTTAAGCGTTTTAAAAGTGCGGTCATCGTTTTACGCGACTTAATTAAAACATTTAATTTTACGTACAATTTTCGCCAACTAAGCTTACGAATGTATGAGTAAAGTGGTGAAAGTAGCATTATAAAGGAATTTCTTTAACAAAACAGCCATTTTTTCATTTAACTGTTAAAAATTTGAAGATATATACGAAAATATTTAGCACTTTCTGCACTTGTTAGTGATCAAAAGACATTGTTGAGTAGACCGCAACATTTATTGGATATTCGCAAAACTCCAATCACATCACATTAAACTTCATTTCATGAAATCTACTCAATCTATGCCTAACTAATGTTTCGTTTCGTCGGATTAAAATTACTGGTCGAAGACTTCCAGTTTTATTCTAACTAGGAAAGTAATCAGCTTGCACGATAATGTACCGTCTCACCTCAACTGTTGAGTAATATGAAATTGTCAAACAACTTTTGCCGACGCCCTTGCATTTCATAAAAGTCTCTTATGTTGCGCTTCTCCTGAGAAAAAGTGTTGCCTTTTCTTTAGAAATTTTCCCCTATTCAATATTCCGCCGTACCACGTAGTGCGCAGCGTATAGTTTCAAAGAATACAATTAGCAACTTAGGACAACAAATATGTGGATCAAGCAGACTATCCAGCCTCTGACAACTTTAATATCTCTTCCTAAATCAGCACTTTGGGAAGCATAGATGACCAGCCTATTTCCTGAATTTGTAGCCTTCCCGATATCTAAAGGTGAATAGATCGCATCTTAAGTTCGATGGCTTCTCTTCACCCAATATCAAGAATGAATGAGATCGACGCGAGCGATACGAAACTCCTGACCCGAGGCTTCGAAAAAACAACGAGTGATTTATGATTGATTTAAAATGGACAAATGGAAACAGAGCAAAAGCTTCTACGAAATAAAGTTCAATCTATTCGCGATGAATCAGTTCAACGATTAGTCTTCGTGCCAATCAGATTTTTTTAAAGAGCTCGTTGATTACATATCACGTGATCTGTAGTAAATTGTGCAGCATTTGGACGCCGTCTACCAACCTTTAAAGCTTTAATATTACGTCATCCTTAGGCACACCTCCCTGACGTTATGAAGTCTGTTTGAAAACTATACTTTCTTTTTTTCTTTTTATCGTTTTTTGCCGTTAGTTGTATTCAGAAAAGCAACGAAATTTCAGAACCACATTTCGAACTTAAAAGCAAACCAAATTACATGTCGATCTTTACTAGAAAATAGCAACAATTCTTATGAAGTTGAGTCCCGTCTCGTCGCTCAACGATTAGCATATAACAGTAGTATATAACAGATTGCTTCGAAATTCTAGTAACGTGTAGAAAATTGTCGAAGATTTCATACCAAGGGATTTAAAGTCCTTTTTTGTAATCGAATTCGTTCCATAGGATCTACTATTATATATAATATATGCTTGTCTTTAGGTCGCCGTTTAACGGCTTTATATATGGTAGAATACTCGAATATACATAATTATTAGAATAAGATCGCAAAAAAAAAGAATCGATTTATGCGAAGGTGTTGAACCGCGTCTTTTGAAGTCTATTCATTCTATTGTGCCATCAAATTGTCTAAAATATATTGAGTTTCATAGTGTTAGAGAGCGTTAGTTGGTAGCAAAACCGTAAATTGATTCAAGGCAATTGATGTAAGTCCCATATATTTTACACTATTTAAAGTATCCAAAAATCTTAAATACCCGCGGCGGAGTTGATTGAAAATAACGAATAACAATTTACGAATTAGCAGATTCATTGCGGATGAAACTTGCTGTTGAAGAGTTCTTCTACGGCAGCATTAGATTTCCTAAGTATCTCTCCAAACTTATGCCTTCGAAGTTCACTTTAGGAAACCAATTTGGAAATTTGATATTGTGATTGCAATAGCAAAAGCGAGCTTAGCGACAACTTTCGAAAATGAACAGACAATCGCATACAATAGCAATGCGAAAATGTCATCTTCATAAATCAAGTACCGCTCCCTAAAAATTGTTGAGCGAAACTTTCTTTTCTTTTAATGTGTGTATGTATAATAACGAAAGAATCTCTATAAATGCCATTTAATACCAAATAAACAACTTTTCTGTCATAAAAAGTAAAAAAGAAACAAATGAGGAAAATTGAGAAAAATTGTGGAAATGAAAAAAATAAAAAAATAAAACAAAAAAATACATCACGTTTTCCGTGCTAGAATTTATTGTGGTCATAGTGTTGATAGTGGTGGATTGAAGAAAGCGTGGATGCCTTCATGGCCTTAGCGAAACGTTTTGCGATTAGTTAAAGGTAAAAACGGTCCATTACTAACGTTTTCATGGACACAGAACATATACACAAATAACTACTATCCTGCATCCGAACGTTTGCTTAAATGGCTGACAAGGTTTAATCTTACCTTAGCTTGTAGATATATACATCTATGTGTATATGGACATATACGTGCAGAGATATATATGTATGTTTATGAAGGCAAGTGCTTTGCGCAAATGGGAGCCGCCCCTTTTAATAAATAAATTTTCTGCTTAAGCAAAGAAGTTATGGAAGAAATGGTTTCTCGCTAGAACTTTAAAGCATTTTTCTTTCTTCTCGTGTTGTTGTTTACTTTGCGGTCAAACAAATTGTTTTTTGTATTTTTGTATTTTTTTATATTTTTCATTTTGTTGTAAGCTGTGGTGCGAAAATTTACACAAACTTACAAATTAACGGATAAACAAGAAAATATATTTCAACCTACAAATTCAAACACAATTACCACTACTACTACTACTACTACTACTACTACTACTACTACTACTGCTACTAATACTATTGCCACTACACTGCTGCTAATGATTTGACATATTTGTATAGCAGATATTGCTCAAAATACAATCCAAACGGACCAGCTCTCATATTACAGAGAAAAAAAGAGGCAGAGAGAGGGAGAGAGAGAAAAATGATTATATATTGGGACTGAGAGTTTGTTTATTTTGCACGCAGAGAGAGGGAGAGATAGAGAGAGAGAATACATGTTTAATTAAGCTTCCCTCCTTAAAAGCAGCAGCAGAGCTTTCATACGTTTCTCTCTTTCTTGATAAATACGAAACTTAAGTCTTTCCCTGTTAGGGTAGAAAGTAACAGCTGCTAGTGTCGTTGTCAACAAATTATTGCAGCTATTTGTTAAAATTTCCTGTGATCTCTGGTTGAGTTTCACATCAAGTCAATTATACCATGTTAAGCCTTTAAGCGTGTTGTGGTATAAGCGCTAAGAAACTACCAAAAGGAAGCAAAAAGAAAAAAAAAAGAAGAAACGAAACGAAACAACGTCTAAATGTTGATTTAACGAAAAAACGCTAATAATGACAAACGTAAGATAAGCTTCACAAGTAGTGTTAGTGTTACGCAAAAATACTTAACAACTTTCGGTTATAATAGAAAAAAAAAAACAAAAAGCAAAACTAAAGCAATCGCTTGTCTCTGCGTTTGTGTGCGTATTGGTGTGTGAATGAATATTTTTAATTAAATATGGTTAAGTGTCTACACGCCAAACACAACAATAATGGCGTTAACTGTATTGTGTCTATTCAACTCAAACGGTTATGCTCCATTACCGTCAATCTAGTTTTTCAATAGATCTCTAGATCAATAAAAATGTGCACGTCGAATGAATCTTGTGTATGCGCGTAGGTGCGTGTGCGTGTGTATATGTATGTGCATTTAGTTTAAGTGACGAGTGACGAGTGACGCCGCATCCATCATTTAAAAGCATATGACATTTTCCATTACCGAAGTTCAATTGAAACGCGCACGCGATTAGTATTATTTCAAGCCGTCAATTATTAAACGGTTTAATGATTTTGTGAAACGACTATCGTCGAAGCATAATTAAAGCATTATTTGCTATTGTTTTACAATTGTGTTTGTGGTTACTTTGAAAAGCTGTTTGTTAGAGCCAATGGTCACGTGCGTGCCACCACCACCGCCACCGCCTACGTTAACTATGCTGCCTATGGTGCCGATTAATCCTTTTGTTGTAGCTCTCAAAACATCGGCTCCGGCGGCAATAACATCACCCACTAGTACGACAACAAACACGGCCTCAAATAATGTTAAACCCAAGTTAGCTTTCAGTATCGACGCTTTGGTGGGAGCAGAAAAGTATATAAAACCATCGCAAAATGAACAAATCGTCGATAGGAAGGAGACGGGTGGCAGAACTTTAGACTATCGAATACAAGTGCCAAATACGTTTGGTGACGATCCTAAGGAACCTTTGGAATTGCGGTATAAACATGAAAACGCAAGAGAATCGGAAAAGTCACGCAATAGTAACGACTTAGACGTAGAAACGCATGATGAATGCAAAAGCCCTACCTGTGATCCTTCGATACATTTATCACCTGCTCAACGCGATTCGTTGCTATATAGTGGTTCTGTTAGCACACCTTTGCATTCACCCGCCGCTGATGCCATGATCCCTGATACGGATCAGCAAAAGGTAAAAGCAGGCATAGTGCTACATAATTTACCGCCCGGCTTAGTGAGGCCATTTCCTTTGCCACCACCGCCGCCACCACCATCGCATTTAAACTTAATACGACCGATAACTAGTCCTCACGAATCTATAAACTCTCAAGGACCCCCACCACCTCCTGCTGCCACGCATCCAGCAACTATACCCCCTGGGGCTGGAGCCCCTAATCCTCATCTTTTGGCGGCGCAATTTCAAATGGCTGCTGTGCTGGCTCATCATCAACAGCAGCAACAGCAACAACAACAGCAGCATCAGCATCAAGCTGGTCTTGGACCTTTTCCACCACCACCAACGCCCGCAACTCATTTGCCACACGCTCATCACTTAGGTTTATTTCCCAACACATCCCATCATCCGCACGCCCAGTTCGGTAATCCGCATCTTATCCGCGACACATATCCTTTGTATCCGTGGCTATTAAGCCGTCATGGACGCATATTTTCGCACCGTTTCCCAGGTAATCATGGTTCAATTATACAGCTCTGCCTTGCCTCAGAACGATCATGCTCTATTCGCGTATATGAGATCTATGCATAAATTCATGGCGAAAATCAAGCATATTTCAAATACAAAATATTTCGAAATTATTGCCGATTCTAACTCCGCACTGTCTAATCGTTACATAAATGTCACTCGAAATCGATCATAGGTCATTTATAGGGAAAGGCGAAAGAGTTCGGAAAATGTTATAAGGATTAATTAAAAGTTCGCAAACCCTTCTCGATTGAGACGACTAACTCTGTTTACCATATTTTTTGTTTTTGTTGTTATTGTTTATGATCAAAATATAATCAAAACTTCGGGAAATGATTTCTTAGTCGTTCAACTTTCACTGCGCGACAAGGTACGACAATATCGCTAAGGAATTATGCATAGAGGCAACAATAATATGCTAGTCAGTCAATTTGATAAAACAACACCCAAGAGATAAGAATTTAAGCTAAATCCATTGACTTACACACGTGTATATACATATATAAATGTATATGTAAAATATAAAGGCATATGTAAACACGTCCGCACATGCCTTTATACTGAGAGAGTGAACGCCCAACCCAGTTTAAATAAATGTCGGAAATTAATTACATTTTAATTAAATTGTTTAAACGTCATTAAAAACATACATTTTGTTTTTTTTTTTTTTGCTCTCAACTCGCATACAAACTGGCGCTGCTGCAACACGTATTAATAATAGTAACAACAGTAACAGTACAGAGATAGTCAGTCACTCAGTCAGTTGGTGAGACGATTAATGCGTCAGTTAACCCAAAAAAAAGTTGTTTTCTTCCTTTTTTTTTTGCTTCAGATGTGTGTATCTCAATAATAGGTTTCATTTCGATTATGCCTCAGTTTAATGCCTTCTCCTGGGCTGTCCTAGCTGCCAGCAGACGGCCATTCTACTCCGACCGTTTTATATTTTTTGTTTTAATTATTTCGGTTATGCTAATGATGGAAAAACAGAAAGTCAAACACAATTTTATGTATATATAAAAATATATATTCCTACATGTACATGAACATGTACATGTACGTATATATTTATTTATATATATATATATATATACATATGTATATCTTATTGTTCTACTATTCTCCCGGCAGTTATATACCCTGAGAGTATAGCAGGCAGTAATTTAAACGGCTACTAATGCATTTTTAATTGAGGTTTTAGTTTTAACAAACAACACACATACACACGCATAAAAGACAAGGTGCTTTTGTATAAAAGCGTATGCATTAGCGTGTGTGTTTGCATGTGTGTGTGTTTGTGTGTGTGTGTGTGTGCGTGTGTATTTGGCTGTGTATGCATATGTGTGAGCGCAAATCACATAACTTGATCGTTTATATTATTATATGCGCTTGCTTGCGTCGGTTACATTGTTGTTGATATTCTTGTTGTTGTTTTATTTCATATATATATATATATATATATATATTTTTTTTTTTTATTATTAGTTATACGCTCGTTTCAAACAAATTGATGGTCTCGCATTTAAGAGTTAATTTTGATGCAACTCGTTAATTAAGTATTAATGCTTTTTTTCTTTTTTCTGTTTTTTTTTTTAATGACGTGCTTGTAATTGTGTTGGTGTTAGGGTGCATTGCATATGTTGTTGCTGTTGTTGTTGCTGTTGCTATGTTTTCGTCTAAAATTACATTGCATATATCAAATAATATCAAACGTGTACTCGTTGTTCTCGTTGCTTGTTGCCGTTTATGGTGAACGTTATCTTTAGCAAAATCAAGTCCCGTAAATCGCTTAAACGTAAAATTAGTTTAATTGTATTTAGCTTCGTTCGCGATTTGTAATTAATTCATTAAATTAATTGCTTAATACAATTAAGTGACCTTAATCAGAATCGATTTATGCGATGATAGGATTTTTGCCTTTTAAATCAATCTAAAGAAATACTTTTTTTTAATTTTTTATTTTAAATCAATGCATCCGTTACGAGCTATAGTTCTATTATAGCTAAGTAACATCAAGGGAAGGGGGAAAAAGCTTTCAGCAAAAATCACAATAATTATGTCACAATAGTGATCAACTTAGCTTAATCAAGAGTGTTTTCTGCCTTTTCAAGTTATATAAGCAAAAAATAAACGTTCATTCACTTACCTATTAGTTACGCATCAGAAAGTTGAACGTTAGCCATCACTTCTGGCAGACTAGCGCTACCCGAAAGTACACACACAAGGGCATGCTCTAATGTTGAATTTTTTTTCGGCTCAACGTAGTTTCTGAAATCATCAAAAAAAGAGATGAAAATGAGTTGATATTAAAAAATATAAAATATTACGATAAGGGATACAACATTAAACAAGTCTACAAAAAGAGAAAGGGTAGCAAAGAAAGTTACATTGAGTCCCTTAACCTTGAGTTTAAGTAAAAATCACACAATTACGAAGGAAGCGCTACAATGTTCACATACACTCTCTCGTATATCCTTAATTCTTTGCGTGCAGAAAGTTCGTGAGCCTTACCTTCGAACTATTTTCTGTCTCTGTGAAATTAATTGTCGTCTCACTACAAACAAAAAGTAGCGGCAAGACTTCATTTTATTCAATTATGGCGGACCCACGTCATGAAGTTATAAAGTAAGTGCACTAACTTGTGCTATTGGCTAACATTTGCTTGTCTGCAAGATTAGCCGTATAGCCGATTAGGTAAGAACCATGACTAATAAGTCAGCGGTTTAAATCTCAATGCGGTAGAGTTTACTTTGGACGTAGCTATAGTGCGTGTTCAGCCGGCAAGGGAGGGATGACTTACTAATTGGAGTCACATGTCATTCCCTTTCTTTACTTCATCTTTCTTCTGGCCGTCACCATGTTATGACGAATACTAGGCATCCCTTGATCGATTTGTAATTAAAAAAAAAAAACACTGTTAGGGTTTTATATAAGTATATATGATCAAACTGCAGCAAGCATGGGTTTTTTTTTAAGATTGCACTGATGCACTATGAACTTCTTCCGCCGGCTTCAACTATAGATAGACAATAATATTACATGAGCGTTATTCGTGCAGTTATTTCTCAGATTTATAAGCATGTACCTCTAGCCCGATCAGGCATCTTCTCGTACTTTTAGTTGGCTTTTCGTGGCTTTCAATTCATAGTGTTTCGCAATCCCTTTGTTCGCGGCGTCGCGGCCCTGCTTTCATATCGCATGCTCTGCTTTAACAGCGTCTCATTTCCTACTATATTCGAAACTCAAAAAACTGCTTCACTGGACAGGAGTCATTTCAAAACATAGGACCAAATCGAAAAATTTGCATTTCTTAAATGATATTAAAAAACGAAAAGGTATAGGCGTAAAGTCTGAACTGACAATTTGAGCAAAAAAAAAAAATTATTTGTTTGAAGAGAACCACGCAAAATGAATGGAAATATCTTACACTGTTTTAAACACGATATGATATAAAAATTCAAAAAGCATAAAAATATATATAATTTTTTATGTCTGTATTTAACCCAATCAATAATAAATGCGTCGAGACCTAAACAATTATTGGTAAGCGGGAATATGGAAACTGTCTAAGTGTCTGCGCTCAACTGCTATCATTGCAAATATTTCTATAACTATTTTAAAATGTTATCTAATTAATTAATTAATTTGGTTTCGCTTATTTTTAAATTTAGAAACTATGTTTGAAGTGATATAAAAAATTAAGGTTTTTTTTAAAGAGCTCTTATCAAAAAGTACACGTTTCGTGCCAACTATTTTTCCGTCATTGTCAAATTAAGTTGAAATTATTTCGTCCTCAATTAGTAAAATATCCTGTTGTGATATTTTTGCTTCTTCTTAGTTTATTTGTTAACACATAGACAATCTGGAAATCATTATTTAAAAGCGTTTTATACAGAGATTACGATATCTCCTCAAAAGACGATAAATTGGAGCAATGGAATGCAAGGATGTTGGTTAAAGTTCTAACAAGGAAATGAAGAGAAAAAAGAGGAGCAAAATAATTCAACCTAATGTGGGAGAGAATGAAGAATGGATCAAACACAAACTCGTTTCCGAAATAAATTGTTAGCAGCATAGGATATAAACCTACGTTTATATGTAAAGTAAAAAGAATTGAAGTCTCACAAGGAGTTGTACTTTCTAAAAAACCTTGTCTGAGATGACCTGAATTATAAGTTGGTCTTTAGGTCTTTGCCTTTCAATAACTTTATCAGACTTATTTCAAAATTTTGCCGAAAAATCGACCATCGAGGTATAGAGATATATAGAGTTTGTTCTTCTCAGAAGAATTTTCAAAATAACTTGTAGTTAGCGCTATGTAGCTTTGGACAATATTGCAATATCTCTATGCCGAAGCTTTGCAACACACCCTGTGAGAAGAGTGACAAACAGTTTCGATAGAAAAAAAAACCTTTATCTAAACGGCGGTTCTCCCGAGCAATCGTCGTCTTCATCTCAATTGTGTGCTTGTGCAAACGGTTGCCAGTCAACCCCCTCTTTGATTAGAGTGATGATCAAGTCATTTTGAGTGATTATCCCAATCAGTTGACCGTCAGTGGCCCTAAGTTCATCTTCTTTGAAATGGAAGCTAACAGGGAACTGGCCGAAGAAATTATGTCTACGGTGTTATCGGATAGAGACATGGTGATGTCTTGGAGATCTTTGAACCGAAATGTTCGAGCACATAACGCCATTTGAGTCATCCACAGGCACATGTCATTCAACTTATCCTTTGAATGCATGGAACGATTGTTGCCCAGCGCTTTTGAAACAATGAACTGAAAACCAGAGTGAATACATGCTATCAAGATAGGCCAAATTTTTTGAGCTTTATATCTTTGCTGAAAATGTGTTCGCCACGTTACGATTAAAAATTAGTAGGGAACACGAGCATGTAAAAGAAACCAAACCTTTAATTCTGATCACAGAACCCAAAAACTAAGGCATTGCTACTAACTGTCAGACATAGTCACACAAACATTGGAA